CCTAATGGTCAGGAGTCCCTTTACTGTATTACTCATTTCAGTTAGTGGGAAGAGATGGAGCAAATTGAACATCATGGGACTCTGAATTAATCTGATGAGAGATACAGCCAATAAGTTAGTCAACTGGGCACAGTAGATGGAAACTGGGTAACTACTGTGCCATGGAATTTGGAAATTATCCTCTGGGGACAAAAGATTTCAGCACCTTCAGCTTGAAGAAGCTGGCTGAAAACACAGTTTGCCTCGTTCAAAACAACATGCTTCTCATGACCCAGAGCTGGGACAGAGCTCTCCTTCCTCTTCACTGGGTGAAATAGCCATCAGTGACAGACTTGCAATAACAAATTACCATATCAGAATAACATCAAGGAAGTGCTATTGTCTTGTCTTTCTCTTAAGAATTTGCTTTCAAAAATGTGCCTGTAAAGAGGCAAATTATCTCCATAGGGAAATGGCTCTAGCAGCAACAGGGATGCAACTTAATAAATACATAGTGCTGCTTTCTGAGGGTTTGTTTCCGTGCACTGGTGACCCTGTGCCTGGGTTCTCAGACTGGCTTACATGAACAAATTACTGAACAAATAATTAATATATGTCTAATGAAGACAGTTTAATGGACTTGGCAGAAACCATAATCACAGGTATCAAGTACCTCTCAATGCACCTACTGATCGATTGCTACTTTTCCATCAAAATCAAAACTAGTGTTCAGGGAGAAATGGTCTAATTTAGCCTCAACTCTGACATGCTGTTTTTCTGCATGCAGGGGCCTGAATCCCCCAAAGTGCCAGCAAAAGGTGGCTCCCCCCCCCCAACTTCTGGCAGCCCTGAAGCCTCTCTTGAGTGGGATGGGCTGTCAGCTGAAGGGCTGAATGGGGAAGGAAGGGGGCATTGCTGTTAGTGTGATCTGGTTTTTACAAAAATCCAGAGTGATCAAGGTAATAACTGCTATTACCTTTGAATTGCAAGTAAAGGAACAGAAATGTGAGAGTTTGGCCTTGACAAATGCAGGGCTGGCCAGCTTGGGGCAGTTTTAAGCTTGCACCAGGAAGTTCAGATGGCACACCACCCTCCTTTTATTAATTCAGGAGTGTAGAACAATCTTCCTTGCATGAGGCTCAGTGATTCAGCCTTGCAGTGTCTCTTTCATTCAGTAGAAGCTGCGCAGGAGAACGCCCTGCCATTTTAGTGAGCAAGAGGAGGGGCAGAATTTGGATTTTTCTGTCCACTCTGAATCTTATCTGCTGCCTCAATTGTCCATGGCACTTTGGGTCAGGTTAGGGATGGCTTGCAATGTAAGTTATAACAGGACTGCAGCAGTTCAGATATCATTTACTTTTCCCTCCCCTGAACCTTCTCCTAGTGTACCAAAACCAACCCCGTAATTCCAACACAATAATTTAGGTATTCAGAAAACCCCAATGGTTTGTGATTATCTAAGGAACAAAGGAAGTGTGAAAAATGCTACACTGACTGCAATTGATGGGCCTGCAATTGACATTTGTGCCAGTAAAAAATAATTATCCAGTTGCAGTTTGGGCAGAGCCTTGTATGTTGAGCTCTATTGACACAGAATGTCTTATTAACTATCTAAAATTGCAAAGCAATGTGTTGTTTAAACCAGCCTGAAAGATGCAGTATGAATTCAGATCTTCCACATTTCCCATTCCAGGTGTGTCTTTTGAAATGTACATTTAAAATAAAAGAGAGATAGATGATAGATAGATAGATAGATATAGATAGATAGATAGATAGATAGATAGATAGATAGATAGATAGATAGATAGATGATAGATATAGATAGATGATAGATAGATAGTTTGATAGATGTGCACTTTTTGCACTCCCTAAATGGCAGGTCTGGGTCACTGAATGTGAAAGGAAATTAGGTTTAGTTTACAGAATTCCAGCACTCACGCTTTAAGTTTTGACATGAGATTTTGAGTTTCAAAATAGAGGCATTTTCAAATGAAACTTTAGGCAAGATTTCCCTTCAGTGTTGGTTTAGATTATGCAACATCCTTAGGACCTCTTTGGCAGAGCTCTTTGGGCCACAACTGCCTCTGCTTGTCACACAAGCAAAACTGTGAGTGACCCTTGCTTCCTCCCGCCATACTCTGCCAGTGTGAAGGCAGAGACACGCATTTCTCATCACAAGAGGCGTATATACCTTCCGACTTTGCACAATGCCCAGTGGAATGAGGAAGAGAAAGCAATTAATGCTTTTTCTCTGTTTCCTAATCTCATGCGAAGGCAACTGGAATTACGGTACCCTTTACCTTCTTTTATACTGGCACCCCAGGGCCAAATGATACGGGCTTGCAGGTGGTATTAAGACCATGTTCATGGTAGACCATCTTACTTGACTACAAGTGGTCACCAAAGAAGAAATTCCCATGCTGAGCAATTTAGCCAAGGGTGGCAAACCTTTCTTTTTTGCCTGAAGGCTGTATTTGTGCTTGGCCTGCCCTCTGGGAACCACATGTCACTGGTGTGCTGTGTCTATTTTTAAAAAATATTTTATTATTGCTGGCACTGCGAAAATTGGTGGGGTTGTCAGGGGTGGGGGATGGCAGATGAGGCTCCCAAGCTGTGAGTTGGCCACCCCAGTTTACACATTCTGCCCTGCAGAAACTAACAACTACAAAGAGCCCAGCTAGATTAGGCCAAAGGCTCACCTAGTCATAGAATTGGAGGGTTGAGCGTGACCCAAAGGGTCACTGAGTCCAACCTCTTGCAAAGCATTGTTCTCCTAGTGGCCCTGTGGGAAGTCTTCACACAACTGGCACTCCCATGGAAACATGCAGCCCACCTATCCAAGATGGCAGCGGACAGTCTCCAATGGGATGTCCTCAATGAAGCTGAGTTCCCTCAAGTCAGACCAGGACTTGCTGGAGGGAACCTGGGAGCACCTGCATCTCTGTGCTGGAGACTCTTCATCTTGTTTTCTTTCATTCCCAAGAAAGGCAAGCACTTTTCTTCCGCAAGATGACTCAGTCTTCCCAGATGGAAAGAGTATACTCATCATGGCTTTGGCAGCAAATCCCACACACATTTTCCCACCAGCCTCTCCTCAGATGAATCAAACACAACTGTTTGTTTAACCACTTCAAGCAAACTGGGTTCCATCCAGTGGCTTCCAGGGTCATGAGGAGAAGTCTGGCTGGCATGTGTGTTCGAGAGGAAGCAGAACATGGCAAAGGCTACCAAGTGTAAACAACCAGGATCCTTTCAGGCCAGGACACATTGTTCTCTGCTAACAGTGAGCTTTGGGAGCTTTGCTAGTTTGCTTTTGGAGTAAATAGCCCAATCACTACCCTTTTAGCACAAGCTCCTCTGGCAACTTGTCTAAGTCTCACAAGCCCTTCCTGGTTTGGCCAAAGCACACATTTTTATCAGTGAAATGTGATGTCCTCTGTCAGTGAGATATAAGCAAGGTTAATTCTCTCTCTTGCATAGAGAGATTGGGCGGAATCTGGAATTACAGCCTTTGTTACAAAAAGGTGCATTTGTAGTCCTCCTGGATGTCATGCATTTGAAAACAGGCAATGGATGACAAAGCCACTTCTGAGCTGGAAAGGAGGTGGGGTTGTGGGCCCACCCCCTCCCCATGCACGCGGGGGCTGGCTCATAGCCCCCGCGAGAGTAGGGGAATCCTCGGGCGCGTCACCGCCCCGGCCAGCCAATCGGCGGGCCGGGGAGGCGTGGCCTAGCACATTTAAGGCTGGTGCGCCCGGGGGCTTTCCTCTCTTCCCCATTCCAGCTGCTTCGGTTTCCCACCCGGCCCTCCCTTAGGTTTAGCTCCCTGACCTTGCTATGGACTCCGGTTGGTCGCCGCAAGGGGCCTGGTAGGAATTTTTCCACTTGGCAAATTTCCAGCCATTTGGTTTTTTCGCCTACCTCGTAGCAAACGTCACAACTTTCCCGGTATCGGCGGTTAGGCATTGGCAGGGGTATTGTTATGCAAATGAAGGGGGAGGAAGCGCCATCACCTTCCCCCAAAGCAAAGGGTAGTCCGGTAAAGGACTCCGGGGGACGTTGCCCTGTCCGAAGCCTATGGAGGTGTGGGCCTAAGGCACGCCCCCGAGCAGTGACACCCGGGGGATCCTAGTTGGCGCACTTCAGCAGGACTCCCCCGGCTGGTGGTTAACCCTTCCCGGTCTTCATGCAATTGGGCTGAAGCCGGGTAGTCGATAGGAACCAATGCCTAAGGCCAATATCTCTCAATTCCTGTAATCAATAAAGTTGTGGCCTTTTACGCCCATTAACCTTAAATAAAGTGTCCTGTGTCTTCACACGGAAATTGCTGCTGCAGCAGGCAATGGGGCAGGCGGGAAAGGCAGGCAGCCTCCGCAAGGGGCCCCAGCTGTGCCAAAGGAGGCATTCATGAGCTGAGTGCATGACGAGCTTCTCTGTCTTTACGGCCAAGCACAGTGCCAATGCCCTGCCCCCATTTCTGCCCATCCAAGGGGATGGGGCAAAGGAATGCAATTCTTTTAAAAAGAAAAAGTTTGAATGTTGCGTTCAGAAAAGGCTTTGAAGATTTTTGTGAAGGGGTCTAACTGCTCCTTTGTAAAAGCACTTTTACTTTGTAAAGAAGTGGCATCCCATACATGGTTTCATTTTCAATGGCCACTGAAACAAATTCAATGTGCTTATGTGATTCTTTCTTTCTTGAGTGATGGTTAACTTGGAACCAAATGTAATGGTAAAAATACATGGGTTTCCCATCTTGGCTTGTGAGGGGGGTGGGATGCTAATGGATGCCTCACTTCAGCAGAAGCAGGTAACTAGGGACGCTTCTCACCTGGCTCCCATTGATGGTTTTGTTTTGTTTAAGCAGGTGAAGATCTTATTTTTATTTTCTCAGGTCTCTTTACTCGCAGTTTTATCTGTGCTTGTTTTACTCTGCTTTTATCTGTTCCATCATCGCTTTAACTGTTTTATGTATCTATGTACTTAGTATTTTATTGTTACATTCAAAAAAAAATCCCAGAATATTTGTTAATGTATATACATTTATTTAAATCAAACAAAACAAAAATATCACCCAGGGGCACTAAGGGAAGCTCAACTACAACACTGACGAGAGAGCTGTCAAAGATTCCCCACACCTGTTCTAAGGGAAAGTGAAAACAATAGCCTTCCTTTGAAGTTTTTGTTTTTTTTAAATAGCTAGATGTGCATTGATTAAGTATACCATATCCTTCATAATGGGACGCGGGTGGCGCTGTGGGTAAAACCTCAGCACCTAGGACTTGCCGATCGCATGGTCGAATCCCCACGGCGGGGTGAGCTCTCGTCGTTCGGTCCCAGCTCCTGCCCACCTAGCAGTTTGAAAGCACCCTTAAGTGCAAGTAGATAAATAGGTACCGCTTTATAGCGGGAAGGTAAATGGCGTTTCCGTGTGCTGCGCTGGTGCTGGCTCACCAGAGCAGCTTCGTCACGCTGGCCACGTGACCCGGAAGTGTCTCCGGACAGCGCCAGCTCCCGGCCTCTTGAGCGAGATGGGCACACAACCCTAGAGTCGGACACGACTGGCCCGTACGGGCAGGGGTACCTTTACCTTTACCTTTATCCTTCATTAGGCCAATGGTAAGCCACGAAGTAGGACATTTATCTTTGTTGTATGAATAAGAATACATCAGCATTGTATTTTTCCTCAGGAAAACCTGAAGACTTCTTGGGTCCTTAACTTCAGTGATCTGCAATTCCAGGAATTTGATCAGAAGCTCAAGGCGTTTTCCTGTAAACACTCCCATTGTGCCCTGACAGGGGGAGGCAAAAAAAGAGGTAAAGGTAAAGGACCCCTGACAGTTAAGTCCAGTCGCAGACGACTCTGGGGTTGGGGTGCTCATCTCGCTCTATAGGCCGAGGGAGCTGGCGTTTGTCCGCAGACAGTTTTTCGGGTCAAAGCCATATAAATATTCTCCTGACCTGCCTGGACACACAATCCGTTTTTCACCACTTTCCATCAAGTCAGCAATGTAAGAAGTTCTGCTGTATCTGAGCTCCAGTGCTAAGGCACCATTTTAAAATACACTTAAGCATGTAACTGAATTACCATTTTAAGCCTGCCTGAACAAAGCTGCTATATCTGCTACTCTTCAACACAAGTATTCTGAGTAAATGTTATTTTTTTACTTTTCACAAGATTGCGTGTGATTATTGTTTTAAAGGGGAGAAAAGGGGGAAATAGCAGGAGAATCCAGTCTGCCTTAAAGCATCCTGCATTACTTAAACTAGAAGCCTAAAACTAGCCTATCTAAGCTTCCTCTTAATCTGCAAAGGGATTCACTCACAAACGCGAAGGAAGGATAATATTTAATAAATATATCCTCTCCTAAAATCTATTCACATCCCTAACACCATTAACTTTGCAAAACCTGAATTTGGCGTGCCAGACAGATAACCATGATTTATTTTGTTTTGTAAAACAAAACTAGAGCCACATTGTCATCCAAACCACAATCTGAACTGTTCTCTCTCAGCAGCAAAAACGCCTGGCAGTTAATTGGTGATTACGATAATTTTAAAAATGCTTCTCATCCCAGCAGACCTTCACTCGATTTAGAGCGAGTGCTCGCTTTCAGCTATCCTTCTGCACATTCAAGTCTTTAGAGGAAGTGGTAAAGGGGAACGACAATAAATCTCCAAGCAAATAACAGATCCAGCGGGATTCGTGTGGAAATTTATTTCCAAGTAATACCAAGGGAAATTGAAATGGGAGAGTGCCCAGGATCATCTGCCAAGATTCAAATATTCTTTAGGAATCAAGTATCAGATGCATTACTTGTAAGCACCATTTCTACAACATGGGAAAAACCAGTGGTAGTCAATAAAAATGGACCTGTGTGGCCATTGAACAAATGACCTTCTACTGCCATTTATACAAAGTTTTTTAAAGAAAAACCTCACAGAGCTTTAGAGATGCAGCTGCACAAAAGCTGTTCTCGTCCTCATAAACTCTTCAAACATCTGGACCCCACATTCTTGGAGCAAACTGTTCCCCAATGAACGCCTCTGCTTTGCTGCTCACATTTAGCTCTGCATACACTCCCTTCTTAAGGTCGTGTCCTGGGCACAAAGCAAATTTTAGACATGCATGTGTGTGAATTTTCGCAACCAGTTTTTCATTGTGCTTTCAATTATCATCCACCAGCCAAATGACCACTTCTAGCAAACAAATTGCCCCCCACCTCTTGGACTATGTGCAAGGGGCAGCATATTTTATAAGATCTATGGGAATATCAAACAATATCAATACAGCATATCTGTAAATATATTTCTGAGCAGATGCTCCTATGAATTCATATGAGAATGATCCATCAAGAATACTGTTGCAGGAACCTTTAAGGGCCTTTTTATGAGAACAAAAAGAAAGCAGTATTTTCTTCCCACAATCTCTTCAGACACCTGCCTCTTCCCTTAGCTGGGAAAATCCGCCTTTACAAGCCGTGAGAGCGAAGCATTGCTGAATTGTTAACCAACAATTCTCAGCTATTAGGCTGTTTGAACAGAATGGACTGCAGCTTTGGCCTCCCCAGTAGAAATCTCCAGTGCCATCAGTCAAAGGCCAAGGTGTCACGGAGGGAGGAAGCCAATGTTATGTTGGACTACTATTTCAGATGGAAGGCTCACCCGTATACAGAAACAAAAAATTGGCATGTCAAGGTTTGGCTAGAATTCTTAGTCTTCTTTTCTATGTGGGGAAAAGAAAGCCTTCAATCATGGAAGCCCCCGTCTGAAGCACTACAGCCCAAGCACAAGCTCATCTCCACAATAGACAGGAAAAGGCCTAAGCAGGGGCGGAAAGCCCAGTGGCCCCCCAGAGGCCCTGGACTCCCACAGACAGTAGTTTCCCCATCCACTGCTGGCTGCGTTCCTGATAAGCTCCCTCCATATAGGATCTGTCAAGCAAGCTGATGCACAGAACTGAAAGGTGTTATCTAACACTGTTAGAACTCACAGGCAGCTGACAGCAAGAGCTTTACACCTGAGGTAAATATTGCATGGTATTACTTATATAATAAACTGAATCCAGGTGTCCTGAAGTTTGAACATACCTGAGCTGAGTTACAGGCTTTGTGTTGGATGCTGTGACACACAGCTGTGCGTCTTGGCAAGCAACCATCCAGGAAATGTGCAGGTGGCATTATCAAAGTAGGAACTTAGCATGGTGTGCGTGTGTAACCAGGGTGGGAGCCCAACCTTTCGTAACATCCCACCAAGTGTGAAGGGACGCGGGTGGCGCTGTGGGTTAAACCACAGAGCCTAGGATTTGCTGATCAGAAGGTCGGAGGTTCGAATACCGGCGACGGGGTGAGTTCCCGTTGCTCGGTCCCTGCTCCTGCCAACCTAGCAGTTCAAAAGCAGGTCAAAGTGCAAGTAGATAAATAGGTACCGCTCCGGTGGGAAGGTAAATGGTGTTTCCGTGCGCTGCTCTGGTTCGCCAGAGGTGGCTTAGTCATGCTGGCCACATGACCCGGAAGCTGTACACCGGCTCCCTTGGCCAATAAAGCGAGATGAGCGCTGCAACCCCAGAGTCGGCCACGACTGGACCTAATGGTCAGGGGTCCCTTTACCAAGTGTGAAACTTTTTTGTACTGCACATGTATCTGATCCGAGAACCATGGGAGAGGGCACTGGCAAAATTATGCTTGCCGCTGACCGGGACATTACAATTTTATACCCACTGCAGTACTTTGTAAGTGGCTGTATGTATGGCTATTATGCCATATTTAAAGCATTTTAGAGTCTGAAATCCAATCTAAGAGGAAGATGGCAAAAACAGTTTTGAATGAATCCAAGATGAAAATATATCCAGACTGAAAGCTAAATGATTTTAAAAGCACTATATAGTGGTGCCTCGCAAGACGAAATTAATCCATTCCGCGAGTGTCTTCGTCTAGCGGTTTTTTTGTCTTGCGAAGCAACCCTATTAGCGGATTAGCGCTATTAGTGGTTTAGCGGCTATTAAAGGCTTATCGGCTTATCGGCTTAGCTGCTAAAAGGCTATTAGCGGCTTAGCGGCTTAGAAAAAGGGGGGGGAGCGAAAAAAAAATCTCAAGACTCGCAAGACATTTTCGTCTTGCGAAGCAAGCCCATAGGGAAATTCGTCCTGCGAAGCAACTCAAATACGGAAAACCCTTTCGTCTAGCGGGTTTTCCGTCTTGCGAGGCATTCGTCTTGCGGGGCACCACTGTACTCAAGGGCAGCTTTCAATGAACAGGCTGTGCTCCCCTTGGGCACTCATGTACTCCTTCCACATGTATGCTTGTGCACCTTCATTTGCACATGAACGCTTTCAGGTTTGTGTCTCCTAAATCTCTGAGTGTTCACCATCCATACTATTGGCCAGTACTTCATGGCATCTTGAATCCCAATTCTGTCTTCTGTAGTATTGCTACCCCTGCCAGTTTGGTATCATCTTCAAATTTGATGAGCATCCCCTCAATTCCTTTGTCCAAGGCGTTTATAAAGATGTTGAACAACAGGTCCAGGACTGAACCCTGCAGAACCCCACTTCTCACTTTTTCCAGGATGACAAGGAACCATTAGTGAGCCCACTTTGGGTTTGGTCATTCAACCAGCTACAAATCCACCTAACAGTTACCTCATCCAGCCCACATTTCAGCTGCTTCTCTGCAAGAAGATCATGGGGGACTTTGTTAAAAGCCTTACTGAAGTCAAGATACACTACGTCCATAGCGTTCCCCCAATTTACCAAGCTTGCAACTCTATCAAAAAAAGAAATTAGATTTGACTGGCATGACTTGTTTTTGAGAAACACATGCTAGGTCTTATATAATTTACATAGGTAAACCAATCCCTCCCAGAATTGAGGGAGGACAAGTTGCAGGAGAGTGGTGGATCACATGCTTTGCAAATGAAGGAACCCAGATTTGATATGAGGCCCTGAAGAGCTGCTGCCATCCAATGCTGGGCTCGGTGATAAATAGACTAAGCTAGTGTAAGGCTGTATCTATACTGGTAACGTCCGGATCAGACTACTGCAATGCATGCCACATGGGGTCCCTTTTGCCGCCTTTAATTGATCCCAAATTCTGCTGTTAGAATGTTGACTGGGCCTTGCTAAAGGAAACCTCTCACCAGCCCTTCTGCATCTTCACAGTCTGCCAATCCATTTTGAAGCGAAATTCTAAATGCTTGTGCTTATCATTAAAATCCTTTACAGCTTTATGACACCAGAACAAGGTATCCTGCCTGCTTAGTAAGGTTGAGATCTTTCTCTAGGTGTTTTTCTGGCCTGCAGAGGTTAGCAGGCTTGCAACTAGACAAAAAGTCTTTTCAGTTGTGGTACACTACATATGGAATGTTCTCCCAAGGGATGTTCAGCTAGCACCTGCTCTTAATGCCTTTCCAACTGCAAGTTTGGTCCTTTGTATAGATGCCCAGACTCAGGCCTATTAATATCTGTTTCTAGGCCATGCTACAGGGGGACAGAATGCTGGAAACTAGTAGGTATCATGAATGGGGATATTGGACAACCAAACGGGAGTATCACATCACATTTCAAGCATTAGTGCTCTCCCTTCTCTAGAGGCTATAACAGCTTTGCTACCCCCTCCCATGTGCTTCACATTCTGGCATGTTTTACGGAGCACCCCTTGACACCCCTAAAGACTGGAGCTATGAGCAACAGAAGTAATTAATTATAATATTGTGGTTACAATTTAATAGATAGCAGATAGGGTGCAACAGAAGGGGGGAAACTACTCCATGGAAAACGGGGTGGGAAGTCGATAAAAATAAAAGACAAAATTGTGATTGTACACACTGAAAATGCTGAAACTTTTGAGCACAGGGAACTTTCTCAAGAAGATATATTCCATAGTTCTTGTTTTATGGGGAGCGTCGTGGCAACAGCAGCTTTATGACTTATGTGGCCTTAACATATGCTAGTTAGGCAACAGTCCTATTAAAGTCAGTGATTCATCATTATCATGCACTTAAATTGCCTCAAAGCAGATGCTGTTAATGTTAAGAACCATCTCCTCTGTATGCTGGAGTGCAAGAATGGGTAAAGGTTTTAAAACTTTTCCACAAGAGTTTCCTAAACATAAAGCATATTGCTGACATCTTCCTGCCATTTGCAAGCCCTGATGGTGCGTAGAATTCTGGCAGCAGTATCATAACATCCCTACTATCATAAGATACTGACCCACCCATGCATTTCTGAACCTTTGGTTCCTCATCAGCCACCCACAATGGACAACTAAAATAAAAAGGTGCTAATACCCTTTCACATTTGGAAAGGATAGAGTCAGAAACAATAGTGTGCTGTTGCCATTATGGGATTTCAGATATCACTTGTCATAAAACATCTGATTTGACTTATTATTTCCATTCCTCCTGGTTTAATCGGAGCATGAAAAATACTAGGTTGCAGGTTACGCAAGAGCTACAATAAAAGTGAATCACTATTCTAACTTTTACAAATGATGCCTCAGAGAAATGCAAAGTCCTTACTTTCCAAGTGAACAAATGCCACTTTAATGGCAGCATCTATACCCAAACCAATTTTGAACACAATTACAAAAATATTCAGGAGAAACTAATAATGAAGACCTCCAAGACAAGCCACCACCACTCAAGGCTATTTTACCTATTTTAACATGGTGAGTACAGTGGCATGGCTAGGGGTGGGCGTGAGCCAGAGGCGGAATGGCACCAGCCCAGCCTTTGCCACTGAAGTTGTAACTGCCACCAGAATGGCAACCTGAAGCTTTGGTGCACCCCCACCCCATGGTCTCCGCCTATATACAGGCTGTAAGACTCAACCGTGGTGGCTGGTGTAAAAGTGGGAAGGAGAGGAGGCTAGCTATCTGTAATGGTAGAAGCAAGAATTAATTACAGGAGGGATCTCAAAAGAGGTGAAACAGCTGAACAAAATGCATCCAAGAAACAATCACTGCAAGCCAATTTTAAAACAATTCATTAGCCAACTGAAATCAGTTTAAATCAATATACATTGATTTAACAATAAATCATATCAATGAATTGATTTTAAGCACTCATACCACTCTCTCCCCTCCCCTTTACTGAAATTCATTCAACAGTCCACTGACAATCATGCGGACGCACACAGAGGAAATTGAGGGGTCAGGAGGAAAGGGGGAGGGATGCACATGGCTGGATTCTGACCAGAAGTCCATGAGACCAGAACTCCACAAACAGGAGTGAGGCTGGGAGGAGGAGAAAGAAAAGCCCGCAAGAAAACAAAAGCACTTTAGAGGTATTTAATACATAGCGCAGTCCTGTCAAGTTCAGTACAGTGGTACCTCGGGTTACAGACGCTTCAGGTTACAGACTCCGCTAACCGAGAAATAGTACCTCAGGTTAAGAACTTTGATTCAGGATGAGAACAGAAATAACATGGCGGCGGCAGTGGGAGACCCCATTAGCTAAAGTGGTGCTTCAGGTTAAGAACAGTTTCAGGTTAAGAACGGACCTCCGGAACAAATTAAGTTCTTAACCCGAGGTACCACTGTACAAAGGGAAAAGCGTGAAAGGTATTGATGTGTAAATACAAGCCTTAGCAGGGAATGCTGAGAGTATCTTCAGTGAAGCACTGATGAGCTAGAGGCAAGAACATGAAAATGAAGACTTTTCCAGGAGCACAAAGATTTCAAAAGTTCCTAGGAAGCAACAAGTTCTTGCTGCTAGTTGGTGGTACTCATCCCACCTAGGCCCAAGAGGCCAACACAGGAGGGGTGTGTTGGATTTTCAGAGTTCAACATTTCTATGAATGACTTCAGGGTGGGGGAGAAGTTAAGGGAAGATGGACATGCTTTCAGTGATACAATCTGAACGGCTTCTTCCATGCCACTCCCCGGATCGCAGACATGCAATTCAACCATGGCCCACAGACTCCTGGTGTAAATAGCTGGTTTCCTGAGAGAGATTCAGTCATCCAATCTGTGAAATTCTCTCTCTATGGTCAGTGTTATCAAGGGAAGCAACTGCATGTGCATATCTCTAAAATTGCAAATGTTTGTATCAATAAAATTAAATAGTTCAGTAAATGATTGGGGAGTCCCTTTGGTTCTTATTCCATTTTACTTGACATGTTCATCTATTTACTGGCTTGCTCCGCATTTTTTGTCTTTTCAGCTGCCTTCCATGCTCTTTCCACACCCCTCCATAGGATTTCAAGCCCCTTTCCCTGTCCAATTCTCAGCACCTAAAATTCTTCCACAAAAGCATATTCTCTAGCCCTCCAGAAACCCCCTCTGCTGCCTTCCCCACCCTGCTCCTCCATCACGCAACACTTGCACTGCATTCCTGAACAAATTTACTTGACAGTACATCTGAGGAAACATGATGTGGCTCTTACTGTGAAGTCCATTGAGAAGGAACTATGTAATCTACATTCTGCACAAGATCTATGTCCTAGAATAGAGGACTACGGCTGCTAGATAACGTTGATCTAAGTGCTGAAATAATGTTAATACTAAAGGCATCACTAGAAGAAAACCTTAGAAAGTAAGATTCTGGTCTGATGTAAGCACACTTTAATATTACCAAAATTAACTTCCAACAATTTCAAGAGCTGAGGCTCCCCCCTCCCCACAATAAATAATAGTTTGAGATCAATGGTTACACTCACAAAGAGCCTCTTAAAGTAACTGTATACATACTGGGACCTTCTTGCACCCAAAAACATCCAAAACACTGTCAGAATGTACAGTAATAGTGCATTGGGAGAACAAAAGGACAGACACTACCCATTTCAGAGACAAGCTATGAAATGATGGTGACCAACACCTGAAGAGGGGAACAAATGAAAAGAGAAAAAAGAATGAGACTCTAGAGGAGGGCTGCATTTTAAATGGAAGCATTACAGACAAGGGCATGGCAAGAGCAAGCTGCTTCCTTCCAGGCAGTACTGAAGACGGCAGTCAATACGATCAGGATTCCAATTCAGAAATGTTCATCCAAAGTTGCAGCATAATTTCATCCATTTGCATCAACCACAGAACTATTTTTTTCAGTGATGGCAAACATGCTCCAGAATTGCTGGCTTAAATACAAGCCACATATGTCTGAAAGAACCTAAACACCAATAAGACTATCATCAAGCTAACTGAAGCCAGATGAAGCTATCTGAAAACTACACCCCAATATTTTTCCATCTTCCCCCAGAAGACCTAATGGCTGCTCAAATATGCTTTTAAAATGGTCACTTAGTTTCCTTTTAAAGAGAAAAGGACACATTGCATACAGCAGGCAAAAACTGCCTCGAGTAAGGAGACTTCAGGTAATTAAAAACAGAAAAAGCAACTTCAGAATCTCATTATAAAGGAACAAGAGTGTAATCTTTAGCGTGTAGTATCAGACTCCACTTTCTATGGAAGGACACTGCAAAGACTGACCCCCTCAGGTATAGACTTACACCTTGTTCCCTGATCTGGGTACAATCCTTCCATGTCCTTTCAGAGTTCAGTTTCTGTTCCACCCATGGCAACGGATGACACTCTTCTCCACTGCTGCATTTACAAGACATCAGCGTTGGAGAGAATCTGCCTTCCTCACAATAAAGCACAAGAGTTTAAAACTGAATATATAATACTGCTGTGCAGCTAGTTGATAATCAGGGGGAATCAAGTGAATTAAACCCTTGCTCCAGCAAAATACACACAAAGATGAAATGCAAAACTATGTTTTACCAGCATATTCCATAATAGTGCATATATTGCAACATTCAACAGGACAAACATAGTGTTGAAAGGTCTAGAAGTACACAGGATGCAATGGATGAGTGACTGGAGTTATCAGTTTTCCAGGAAAGCCACATAGTCAGTTAACCGAGCCAGCTGCTGTTCATTGGGAATTGGTGGGACTGAAGCAGGTTCTGAAAATAAGGCACAAAATGGGATGAAAATTAGAAGAAATGGGAAGGGAAACTGAGTAATAGCTCCCTGCCACTGAAAAGCACAGAGAAGTCACATCTGAGGTCTGATCCATATTCAGTTAGGAGGCACCGCTTTTGAATTGCCAAGTGCAATGGGTTTCCTCTTGAAGGCAGAGGATGTGTGCCCAAGTAAAGGGTCATCTGGAGAGGGGGGGGGGAAGGATCTCTTTGCCCTGTTGGGGGATTCACTCCCACATGGAAATCAAGGCCCAAGCTCAAGTTCTATTCTTGTGCCCAAGTCTTACATGATTTTACGTAGGTTCTGACACAATACTAGTACATAAATTAGATGGTGCAGATATAAAGCCAACTTGTGTGGCGCCTTGAAGACTAACAGTTGTACTCAACATAGCACTAAGTAATTAGTTCTGCCAGCGAAAAGGATTTCTTGCTCCTGCAATGGAATGTCCCCCTCCCTCTCTTTCCCCCCCAAATCTGTTTGAGAAGTTCACCCAACCATCTGCAGTAGATCTGGGGAGGTCACGGGATGGGTGGGGGGGAAGTCCTGTTGCACTTGCAGCAGACCTTGCACTGACCAGATGAGGAAGGAGAAGGCCGCCCAAACACATCTATTATGGCATATGTTTTTGTGGACCACAGTCCACTTCATCAGCAAGCAAACATACATATGACTAAGGCAGGCAGAGGGGAGTGAGGCCAGAGAGAACTGAAATCTAAGGACAAACAGCGATGATTACCTAAAAGCAAAATAAACTACAGTCATCAACAAGGCAGTGTTGGTGATTACACAACTTTCTGTTATCGACAACAATACCTTGTTAACTGGCTACTGCGATTATTACCCCTGCTTTGATTTCATTTCCCAGCCTCACTTTCCTATACTTGTCTTACAATTATATGCATACATGCTTGCCAATATAGGATTATACTTCCTGCATCTGAAGGAATATGCCATAATAAATTTGTTCGAGTATAATTTAGCTGGATGCAATCTGAGTAGCCCCATTAAAATTAACAGACCTAAATGAGCTGTGCCCAGTAATTTACACGGGCCAACTCTGGATAGGAACAATGCTGGATCCAACCCATACCTTTTAACTGTGCTGTTTTTGCCATGGCAGACTACCACCCTCTAGACATAACTCATAAATGAACACATACCTGATAATGGGTGAAATCTGTTGAATGAAGGCTCTTGGGGACCTGAAACAGAGATACAAAATGACATTTATAAATTGTTCAAGGACCATTGCACCAAGAATGGGTTTCTAGATGTACCTAATTTTACTGTGAAATCCTTTATAGAGCTATCCATTACTAAGTTGCTTACTTGCTACAGAGATTTTACTTGCTTTGCCTAAAAGCACTGCATTCAGTGAATCCTTTCAAACTTCTCATTAAGGCGTTCTTTTTCAGTAACTGACTTTATCAGTTGAAGCAGAGTTTACCCTGAACTCAAGTAAGGCATGTATCACACCTAGCATGACTGGAAGATACTAAAAATCAAATTAAGGTGTTCTGCAGTTTGGAAAAATCCCAGGCACTGGGTCATTGAGGCATTTACAACATTAATTAAGTGCTGGTCAGAAATGATGTCTAGGACTATGAAAAGCCAGCTACTGAAAATGCTGCTGGTGCTAAGAAATGGACATTTATTCTGTTCTCAGTCGCTCACTCCATCTCTTTTCCACTTTCAAGATACAAAAACAGTGATTCATCTATACTCCTTTATTTTTAAAAATGGCAATGATTTTAAAAAGAAATTAACAAACTAGCATTGCTTTGGAACAAAGAGCTATGTTACTAATATATATCTGAATATTATATCCAATAATTTTGCTCTTTACATTATTTTCAAAGCACTGTTGTTGTCATTTAATACATCACCATACAGAGCTGGGACTATCCTAGCCCAGGTGAGCCGAGGTGTCACCCTGTGGGACACAACCAGCTCTGCCTAGCAGCCTATTTCTGGTATGTCTGTGCCTGTGTGGCCCTGGGGGATTAACAGCAGAGGCTTGAAGGCCAGGAAGTCTGGGGTGAGGACTTGGAACATGAAGGCCCCTCTCCCCACGGCTTCCCACTGCTGCCTTCCACAAGGAGCCCGTTCCCTCTTGGCCTGGAGAAGGGGGACACTAGGCGTATTGTGAAGGCTACAAAGTTGTATTACTGCTGCTCCTCAAAATTCTCTGTGGGCCGCACCCAGAGAACTAGTAAATGGAGTTATATTCACAGGAAATGAGAAACTTTAACAGATTTCCCCCCAAAATAAAATTCACCTCCTGAGGGTTGAGAGATGCTCTGGAATGGAATGAGAGGTAATGCAGGAATCTCTATTGGGTAAGCCAGTTCTTCTATTTGTAAGAGAGCGATTGTAAACCCAAGCCTGTGTGTTGGAGGACTGGCTTATTTGCTGTTAATTAATTTTTGTTACAAACTTGCTTAAGATTTTGTGTGATGTAAGTATCCCTTCAGGAGCCAACACTGGCTGAAAAGAACACTGTAATTATTAACTGTTCTACAGCTATGCTCCATCTCTGCCATATAAAATTGTTGTAGGTTCCTTTGCTCTGTGGGGAATTCACCTCAAGGAACTCCTGCTGCTGTTAAAAGAAGTTAAAACTTTAAAAAGAGCAGTTCTGTAAGATTACTCCCATATCCCGAAGAACTATTCACCAAAAAAAACAAACCCAAACTGAGTTAAGTATGTATTATAAAGGTTAGGAACTAGTTAAAGAGAGAGCAAATAAACTTTAAAGAAATTTTAGTTGGCTTGGAGTACACACAGTATTCAGCAACTGATCAAACCTCACAACATGCCCTGTTTGTTCTTTATTCCATTAATGCAGAACATTAGAACATGGGTAGGCAAACTAAGGCCCGGGGGCCGGATCCGGCCCAATCGCCTTCTAAATACGGCCTGCAGATGGTCCGGGAATCAGCATGTTTTTACATGAGTAGAATGTGTGCTTTTATTCAAAATGCATCTCTGGGTTATTTGTGGGGCATAGGAATTCATTCATATATTTTTTTCAAAATATAGTCCGCCCCCCCTCCCACAAGGACTGAGAGACAGTGGACCGGCCCCCTGCTGAAACAGTTTGCTGACCTCTGCATTAGATTCAGCAACCAAATTACAAACTGACACCCAAGTTAGTTGTAATTTCAAAATGGCAACTACTGTTAAGTTTTCACTACACTTTATTTGCATCACACATGTAAGTTAAAGTAAACTGACAAACATATTCAACTGAGTCTCCAAAGCCAAGGCTAGCCGAGAGAAATTAAGGCACATTCTGTTTTCCTTTGCCGAAAAGCTTTACACCCACTTGCTTAATTAAAGCTGTCTGTGCCCATGAGAAATACACCAAGTCATATTTCTGACATGATGTTTCAGGAATACCCCTTGCTGTTTTTTAACTTTGAATTAAGTCCTGGCATGCAAATGTTAATTATCCTTTTAAATTCATTCACAGGCAAGGCAAGCAACAAAAATGTACCCACCCACCCAGACACAATGTCTTAATGGATCAAGAGCTCCCCCTACCTGGCTTTTTAGGCATAACCATGCGAGTGGATGAATCCGCTTGCCATCCCTGATCAAGAACACCTAAAATGATTAAAACGAGATGCAAAATCATCAATGCCATACAGAACCTTCAACAAGGTAAATTCTGTCCCAAAAATTTCCTTATCTTCTGTGCAAGAAGCATTCTTATTTTACTATGCCCACATATACTTCTTTGCCATAATGAGAGCAAATAAAAATCCACTTGAAAGCCAAAAGCAAAATGGGAATAATATCTGTTCAGCAGTCAGATGCCATTAAACAGTAATTTTAAACAGTAAAGGCCATTAATTTCAATGGGTCTACCCTGAGTGTGACTTACTTGGGCATCACTCTTTGAAAACGTACAAGTTTTACTTTTATTTTGAAGCTCTTTCATCATATGACATAAAGGCAACTGTGACACTTGTCACAACTGTGACACTTGTTCTGTATCACTATAGTTAAGTTTCCCTTACAGAAACCTTGGAGGGCTGCTGCCAGCCAGTGCAGGCAATGCAGAGCGAGGTGGACCAGGGGTCTGACTCTGTATAAGGTAGCTTCCTATGGTGCAAAATTAAATTTCAAACTCTTATGCATCCTGTGAATTCATAAGTACACTTTCTAAGTATGCATTCAAAAATTTAGTTAAAAGAAAACATATTAACACGCCCTCCCTCCCTCACATACCCTGAGGTATATGCAACTCACATTTGTATTAGAAGTTGTTCATCAGAATGTCTGTTATGTGTAAGGAATGCATATTCTATGTAATGCTTCTACATAAGAAACAGTAAAGTATGTTGAAATCTGATATAAGTCTTGAACTGCAATTTCAATGCATACCTCCAGCATCCTTTATTCAAAGGCTCCTCAAAAGCAGCCAGCCTCTGAAGATGCAGGATGAGACTAAGGGCGCTCCATTATTACTACTGGGCAAATAGCCTTTCTTCACTTTTCTAGGCTGCAGGTGAAGGCATTCAACAAAACCTGGTAACCACAACATATCTATAGTAGACCAGTACAAGGTTACTCCAAGGTGTGAAACACCAGGTTTAATAAAGCGTTTTTACACACACACACACACACACACACACACACACACACGTACACACGTACCTTTCACTGCTTCTTCTATAGGAAGCCCAACAAAGGCTGCAAAGTCATCTGCACTTATTGAGGTATATGCTTGAGAGACCAGTCCAAATGCTCGCCGCCTAGTTGCATCTATTAGAGAGATAATTGGGACGAATGTTGAAAATCAGATGTAAAAAAAATGTTTTGCATGTTTATGTAATGAATAAATTGGGGGGTTTTAAGAGCTTAATGCGTATGACAAAAGCATAGCCCCATGGGAAAGTGGTTATACAGAGGCATTTTCAATGTACAGTGGTACCTCGGGTTACAAACACCTCGGGTTACAGACTACGCTAACCCGGAAGTAGTACCTTGGGTTAAGAACTTTAGCTCAGGATGAGAACAGAAATCGCGTGCCAGCGGCATGGCAGGAGTGGGAGGCCCCATTAGCTAAAGTGGTACCTCAGGTTAAGAATGGTTTCAGGTTAAGAACGGACCTCCAGAACAAATGAAGTTCATAACCAGAGGCACCACTGTACCCGAAAACAACTGTTGCACATAGGAAACTGGTGAAGACGCAACATTCTAAAATATGCTGGCTAAGTACTCAACTTGGAGATAAGTAGTCTTGATAAGAAAACAAAGTGCCCCTGAAGAAACCTGCCTTCAGCCAAAACATTTTGCACTTTTCAATATTTTAGAAGGACTCTGGGTCCAAAACCAGTTTGTCCATATCATGATATCAATTTCATAATTTTTGACCTGGCAATATATTGCAAATCATGGTGTGTGTGTGTGTGTGTATGCGTGCCCTATGCAAAAATCACAATGTGGGAAAAATCATGAAGTCAGTCAATCCTTCTCTTGACTCCTGTAGCCCCTGTTAACTCTGCTGGCTCAGCTCTCCCCTGCCTCCTGCAGGCGGCAGAGAATCACAAGAGCAGGCACCATCAAAAATCACAACGCAGGAAAAACTGTGAAGCCAGCCAATGCCTCTTGATGGCTCCAGCCTTATTTCAGACATCATGATATATCATGATGTCTAGCTTGTGATATATTACGATGCTGAAAACCAGATACTGCCCAGCCCTCTGGGTTATATCTACCTATGGCATACTTACGACTAACATAAGTCCACTGATTTCAATGGGACTACTATGAGTAAGATTTTATCAAGTACAACCCTCTATCAAGACTTTGACTTTGATACCATTCTGAGGCTTCAATGGGAATACAGACAAGTTGTGCTACCTTAATGTACGGATCATCATACAATACAAGTAAGAATTTGCCAAATATGGCCACAACAAAACAAAGGAATCCAAACATTTATGTTGCCTGAGCTGCAGTGGGCTTTTCTCATTCTTCACTTCAAAACAACCTGCCAAGAACTTGGCAACAAGCAGAGTAGCAGGTGATCCTGAGCACCTTTATTTGTGAAAAAAATATCCTGAGATCAGTGGAACTTCAATTAGGTAGACATAGAATTGCAGCCTTCAGGCATCTTCTGTATAGACAAACCCAACTCCTCTGACAACTTCAAGTTTTGCTTTGTAAACTCTTGAGTTATATTCAGACAGGTCTCCTTCTGTTTATGGGTCATCACTGGAGAAGGGAGAGGGGCAACTGTCACTAATTGTTCCTTCCCCTCTGCCACTTCCCATGCTGTTCTGGGGAGTCTCCCAGTTCGCAGAAAGAGCTTTTCAGGGCCAATGTGGGTTGCAGGGGGACTGGTAAAAACCAACTCTCTTCCTCTATGGACAGACTTCCATCCACAGATAGCATCAGTCCCACCCCTTTGAAACTCCCAAAATAAGTCAAACTGCTTCATCATAAATTATCACATGGTCATGTAAAAGCCAACCCCAACTAATGTGTTACATCAAACTTGTACAGGAGACAAATCACCAGGCACTAAAATTAAAAGAGAAACAAACCAGCAAAATCTTTAAGGAAATGCTGTAAAGTTCAAGCAAACTCTGTTTTTTCACAGCGATTATGCATACACTAACAGCCAAAGCTTTTGAATCTGTATTGGAACAGGACAAAACAGCAATTATAAATTCTGTGCTGATTTTGAGCAACCATTTGAAAGAACACACTTTCCACACCAAGTGAAAATGACTAGGGTTTTAGAAAGATGTACCTCTAAGTGCTTCCATGATTGGCTGAATAGATTCAGACCACTGATGTGCACCAATTGTTGTATAAATTCCAGGGAAATCTCTTTGCCAGATTCTCTGCCCCACTGACCAAATTGCACCAAGTTCAGGGTTTGCCTACAAAGAAAGGAAGAAAAATTATTTAGACGGACAAGCCACTGATCAGCAGAAGAAGAGGGAAAGGAAGAAGTCCACAACTATGGTAACTGGACTACCAAGAACTCAGCTGTGGTGGCCATGAGAGCCAAAAACCAGCACGTTCCCCTATTAGCAACTGAATTAGGTTGCCTCTGTTGCTGTGTCACAAACTCTTCCCTGAGCAGGAAGCAGCATTTTAAAACCTCTTTTCTTCCCATCTGCTCTAGCACCTACTTCTGTGCTTGATTTTGACTGCTGCTGCTTTTTGTGTATCTTCAGTGGAATCCTCCTCTAGTTCCTTCCCCTGCCCTCTCACTTTTCACATTAAGCATCAAGTGAAGCACACTGCCCTCCATCTGGCCTCTCAACTTCCCACTCCAGAAAATCAGGGGGGAGGGGGATAATACGTATTGCACCAACTCTCTTGGCACTATCCTCCCAAAGTTAATTAAAGCCCAACATGCAAGACTCTCTAGGTCACTCAATCAGTTAAAGTGATTCCACTTGTATGCAATTTGTGAAGAGTTTGGCTCTAAAGTAAAATGGTTCTACTACAATTGTTATTTCTTTGTGGAGTGCCCATCCTAAGGATGTTAACATTCAACATCACTCCCAAGTTCTGTCAGCCACACTGAATTTTCATGTGTTAAATGCATGCTTAGAATCTAGTATCTCATCAATTCCTACGAAGCAAAAGCAAAATTCCTCATGTGCTCTATAGTTGTAAGCTGCTGCTATGGAAAAAGAGGGACTGGGAGGTAAAACACATTTGCAAGAAAAATGAAACTTCTACCTAATCCATGACGTACTCTAGAAATGAGTCTGAACTCCGACATGAAATACTCTGCATGGAGCACCTGAGATGTACAAACTTAAAGAGATAAAATACAAATCTATAAAATACAGCAAGTATCTATTAAACAATAGCAAAACACAACCTCAACAGCAATAGAACATTCGTTCAGCAACCAGCAAAGGTGTTGCTTTTTAGCTTTCACTTTTGGAAACACAACCCTAAAGTTATGCGTGACACCTCTGTCCTTTAAAGTATTGAAAAGTACTTACAGACTTAATTGCAGGAGGGATTCTTTTCCACAAATACCGTGCATTGTTCCTAATAACATAAAAGTGTCAATTCAAAGTATTTGTTTAAATGACATTAACTAAAAACAAGTTTTTACTACTAGAAGACTATTAAAAGAGGCAACAATTCAAAGAGAAGCAAGAAACGTATTCCGAACAATGCAACACTTTTATATAAGCTGCAGATAACAATTCAAAACAATGTAAACACACAGATTTCACAAATTTTCTTTCTTTTTTTATCTAGCAGCATGTTCACATATGGGCATGTTTAGTCCTCATGCAGTCTATACTATGTACAGGAAAAAACATTTTAGCATATAAAGTTTCGCTTCTAACGTCAAGTACAGTGGTACCTCTAATTACAAACTTAATTAGTTCCAGAGGTCTGTTCTTTACCTGAAACTGTTCTTAACTAGAGGCGTGCTTTCGCTAATGGGGCCTCTTGCTGCGTCGCTGGCACACGATTTCCTTTCTCATCCTGGGGCAAAGTTCGCAACTCAAGGTAACTCTTCCAGGTTAGTGGAGTTCGTAACCTGAGGTATTTGTAACTCAAGGTACCACTGTACAAGGTTTGGAACACATCTTCTGCACACTTGATACTTCCTGTAAGCCACACATGTGTGCATAGGCTAAGCTGTGGTAGCACAGAATGTTCTGTTGCTCAGGTAGTTTAAACAATGTGTAGCCCAGTATAACGTGAAAGTCGCCTGTTTGGCTGGGATTATAACCTCACACAGGGACTGGCCAAGACTGGAAAGAGCAAAGAAATGAAGAGAAGGGGTGGTAACACCCAGAGACAAGGAAGCTGAAGGTAGAGGGTGGGTTAAGGAGTAGACTGAGACAGATGAACCTGAAGGATGGACAGGTAGAGAATGAGGCCCAAAGAAAAGAGCAAGGAAGCAGCAAACTGCAGTGAGAGTTCATTGAAGAGGAGCCTCTGAAGAACGTCTAAAATGGTTCAGATCAGGAAAGGCTGTATGCTGGATCAGAAAAGAAGACAGAGAGAAGCTTGTCAAGAAACAAGGTGTCTCAAGAAGTGTTCAAAGTATTCAGGGGCCTGAAATGCAGACAGTGGGCAGAGCACAGCTGGAGGAGACATGAATCTGTAGAAAGCAGAAGGTGGGCAAAAGTACACAGATGCAGCCGTGTGCAATGGGAAGGAGCAGGAGACATTTAGAGGGCTGGGGAATGTGAGCAAGGAAGCTTGTGATAACTAGGTCTAGAGCTGAGACATTGACAAGGGAATCCTGGCAAGTGTTGCTTCTGTTGCCTCTGAAGGACTGTGACTGACAACTATGAAGGTCAACAAGCAAGGGTGAGTCGGTTCACATACTGATTTGTCCTGAGCTGATATTTAGTAAAGTGAGCTGTACCGGGTGAATCATGCTAGCTTTGTAGAAACAAATATTGCTATCTGACTTAACAATCTTGCCCATTAAGGATCTGCAAAATTCAATTTAAAAAGTGCAGTATTTTAAAATCCCACTGATTCTTTTTTTAAAAAAACCTATTTTTTATTAAAGATTTCTTGATTTACAAAAGTATGTAAAATGTCTCTTTTTTCAACTTAGTGAGGGGGCAAAGTATTTGACCCCCTGCTAAATTTGCCCGTTAGTCCTCTGACAAAGAAATAACCAGTCCATAATTTGAATGGTAGGTTTATTGTAGCTGTGAGAGACAGAATAACAACAGGAAAACCTCCAGAAACCCAGAAGACAAAAGTGAGAGATTGATGTGCATTATAATGAGTGAAATAAGTATTTAATCCCTTTGCAAAAGATGACTTAGTACTTGGTGGCAAAACCCTTGTTGGCAATTACAGAGGTCAGACGTTTCTGGTAGGTGGCCACCAGGTTTGCACACATCTCAGGAGGTATTTTGTCCCACTCCTCTTTGCAGATCCTCTCCAAGTCAATAAGATTTCGAGGCTGATGTGTAGCTACTTGAACCTTCAGCTCCCTCCACAGATTTTCCATGGGATTAAGGTCTGGAGACTGGCTAGGCCACTCCAGGACCTTAATGTGCTTCTTCTTGAGCCACTCCTTTGTTGCCTTGGCTTTGTGTTTTGGGTCATTGTCATGCTGGAATACCCATCCTCAACCCATTTTCAATGCCCTGGCTGAGGAGAGGAGGTGCTCACCCAAGATTTGACAATACATGGTCCCGTCCATCGTCCCTTTGATGTGGTGAAGGTATCCTGTCTCCTTAGCAGAAAAACACCCCCAAAGTATAATGTGTCCCCCTCCACGTTTGACGGTGGGGATGGTGTTCTTGGGGTCGTAGGCAGCATTCCTCCTCCTCCAAACACGGTGAGTTGAGTTGATGCCAAAGAGCTCGATTTTGGCCTCATCAGACCACAACACTTTCACCCACTTCTCCTCTGGGTCATTCAGATGTACATTGGCAAACTGCAGACAGGGCTGTACATGTGCTGTCTTGAGCAAGGGGACCTTGCGGGCTCTGCAAGATCTCAGTCCTTCACGGCGTAGTGTGTTACCCGCTGTTTTCATGGTGACTATGGTCCCAGCTGCCCTGAGATCATTGACAAGTTCCCCCCGTGTAGTTCTGGGCTGCTTCATCACCATTCTCATGATCATTGCAACTCCACAAGATGAGATCTTGCATGGAGCCCCAGACCGAGGGAGGTTGACAGTTATTTTGTGTTTCTTCCATTTGCGAATTATTGCACCAATTGTTGTCACTTTCTCACCAAGCGTGCAGGTCTACAATCTTGTCCCTGACATCCTTGGACAGCTCTTTGGTCTTGGTCATGGTGGCTACTTTGGAATCTGCTGGACTGATTGCTTCTATCGACAGGTGTCTTTTGTACAGGTACTGTAACGAGCTGGGATTACAGGTAAGACCTCTCCCTTACACCAAGTGCTTCTAATCTCTGCTTGTTACATATAGTGAAGATACCAGGTAGCCTGACATCTGGCTGGTTGATAGGGGATCAAATACTTATTTCACTCATTATAATGCACACCAATCTCTGACTTTTGTCTTCTGGGTTTCTGGGGGTTTCCTTGTTGTTATTCTGTCCCTCACAGCTACAATAAACCTACCATTAAAATTAGGGACTGGTCATTTCTTTGTCAGAGGGCAAATGGGCAAATTTAGCAGGAGATCAAATACAGTGGTACCTCGGGTTACAGATGCTTCAGGTTACAGACTCCGCTAACCCAGAAATATTACCTCGGGTTAAGAACTTTGCTTCAGGATGAGAACAGAAATCGTGCTCTGGCGGTGCAGTGGCAGCAGGAGGCCCCATTAGCTAAAGTGGTGCTTCAGGTTAGGAACAGTTTCAGGTTAAGAACGGACCTCCAGAACAAATTAAGTTCTTAACCTGAGGTACCACTGTACTTTTTTCCCTCACTGTACATTTTCTACAGATGGGGTTGGGTGGCAAAGTTTCTATTCTACTTAATGTATGTGTGGGGTTTTGTGTCAGTGTTGCTTGTGCAGGTTCTCTTTACTATTCACTTGTGTTCCTTTGGTGGTGAGAAAGGTTGGGGTTGGCTAGGGTGTGGTTGCTTGTTTGTGATTGGCTATGGTGAACTTTGTTTTCACGTGTGAGTGGGGTCGAGCCTACAGGTAAATTTTGCAAAGTTGGAAGTTACGTGCTTCAACACGCCCCCTCACACACAAAAAGAATTCGCCAACATCACCAAGATAAAACTTTGTGGCACCAAGTTCAGATACCATGGGGTACAAATAAACAGAAACCTCAACAAATTATACCTCCACAACTACAACTCCTTGTGGTGACAAATCAACAAAGACCTAAAGAGATGGAGCAACACCAACTTCACTCTCTCAGAGAAAATAGCCATGATCAAAATGATCACCCTTCCAAAAAATCCCACTGATTCTGAAGGTAAAGGTTAAAACATGTGCAATTGCCTCACTGAAAACAAGAGAACTTCAAAGTGTTTCACTATTGCTGTGCCACACTCTTGTTTAAAACAGTATCAATAAAGAATGTCAAGTAAAATTTTCTGTTTACCCAGGTATTTGAGGACTGAAAGATACTGACAGTGGCCAACTTGGAATTAGTATCTACAATGTATGCGATTGCCTTTAGATGTATTTTTTTCATTTTAAATTGTATTGTTTCAACAGTTCTGATGATTGTTGCCATGTGTTCCTTTGGGAGGAACAGTGCGTGAGAAAGAAACAAAACCAAACAAATAAGCCTCCTTTTGTGCGCCTGTTCTGTAAACTCTTCCAATTTCACAAGCATTACCTGCTATATGAAAGTACTGAAGAATAAATAAGTAAAGCTCAGAGTGACCCTCTAGCAGCTGCTGCTTTCAAAGACACACTTCTTCTCAAGTCCAGGTATTAGAGGTAGATCGAAAATAATTTTTACTTACATGTCATTATGCAAAAGGTACAAAGCTAGGAGTTGCGCATAAACGGGTGGTGTTGCTATTCCTCCAGGGGCCTAAAAAACAAAAATAAAAGCGGTTTACAGAATTAATGGCAACTGAGTGATTACATGGTAGGAAGAACAGCATCTATTTCTGCCATCCCCCCCCCGCAAGGCTGTTTGAATCCCTTGATCCCAGCGGCTGCCTCTGTTTTAACCAGTTCATGTCTCTGTTTCGTCCCCCCAAGAGGACCTTCTCCTGCGTCTGGGCTGCGCAACTTCAGCCTGGGAATCCCCAGCCCCCGCGCAGAGAGAGGAGCCCCCCAGGCGCCTGGCGAGAGGGAGGCGGGCCCGCCGGGGGGGGGGGGCTCGGGGAAGCAGCCTCAGGCAACCCCCCCGCCCCCCGCCCCACACACCTCCAGCTCCTGCGTCTCGCACTGCTCCAGCAGCTTCCGGTAGCCGAGGGCGCCGCTCGCCGCCGCCATCACCGCCACTGGCATCTTCGCGCCCGGCGCCGGCTCCAGCCCAGGCGGAGGGACGGGTCCTCCAAGGCGCGCAGGCGGGCGCTCTCGCCGCTCTCCCTCGGCTTCCGCTTCCGGCCCAGAGGATTGACGTCATCCGCACCACCGACGGGGGAAAGATGCCACAGAGCTATGGAGAGTAGAGGAGCCTCTCGCAGCCTACAACTCCCATCATCCCCTCTGGTGGCTCTCCTCGCCTGGGGATGACGGGAGCTGTAGTCCGTGGACACCCCGGGACTCAGAAAGGCAAGAGGGGCCCTACGGAATTGTTCTGCCCTCCTTGGAAGGCTGCTATGACAACTTGGTGAGGCCTTTAGGGACAAAATGGGTCAGATTCAGACAGAGCTGGATGCCACCGTTGGAGCAAGTCCCGCGGAGCACCTGCTCTGAGCAGCCCTGTTTAGGGAAGTTTTCAATGTTTGATGTTCTATTGTATTTTTAATATTTTGTTAAAAAATACTGAAATATACTCAGAGTCGCAAAGTGATTTCATGCTCTTTATTCAGCTCATAGTGGTGAGGAGGAATGAATGAAAGTCCCCTCAAAGTATCTGCTTTATATACATTATTTACACAATGGGCTGCACATGATTGGCTAATTCTGGAATTCTACTGTAAGCCAATCAGGTTGTGGAGTCACTTCTATCTGGAGCATGATTGGGTGGTTCCTGCCAACCAATCATACTGCTGCATTGTTCTAGGACCAATCAGACTGCTGCATTCTGAATCCTATTGTTCTTGGACCAATCAGACTGCTGCATTTTGGATCCTATTCTAGGACCAATCAGACTGCTGCAGTTTGGATCCTATTCAACTCAGTACATAACAAATACATTTGTCCAAAAACCAGAAGCCTTTTTGTTAGGTATAATAGGTGAAGAGATACCAAGAGAGGATAAAAGACTTTTTATGTCTGCAACGACGGCAGGGAGAATGCTACAACCCAGAGATGGAAGGAAGGAGAAGCACCAACCAAAGAAGAATGGCAGGTGAAACTGATGGAGTACGCAGAGATGGCAAAACTGACAGGGAAGCTCAGAAACCAGGAAGATCAAGTATTTTCTAAAGACTGGAGTAAATTTGTAATTTATTTAAAAGACCACTGTAAACAGTTAAAATCTTTGGCAGGGATGTAATGACATTTGTAATGTGGAATTATTTGTGGTAATTATGGTTATATGATAAATGGATAAGGGTAAAACATGCAGTAAACTTAAATCTAAATATGGAACCCATGGAGGGAGGTTCGAAGGTTTGAAACAACCTTGTATTTTAATGTTTGAAATGGTTTTGTTTTATATGTATAAAATCATCAAAAACTCAATAAAATCATTTTAAAAAGAGGACATTTGTCAGGAGAAAGTTAAGGGGAGTCCAGCCCTGCTCGTTCTCCTAGACCTCTCTTCAGCTTTTGGAACTGTTGGCCACTGAAGGATGCTTCAGTGGTGTCTCAGGAAGGTGTGGATGGGGGGGGCACTGTCTTAAAGGGCTCCTGGGAATTATCCTGGGGTGTCCCACAGGGCTCCATATTGGCCCCTGTGCTATGTAACATCCAAAGGAAGCTTCTGGGAGCTGTCATTGGGAGATTTGTTAAAATGCTGGTGACAACCAGCTCCATCTCTCTGTTCAGACTGAATCAGTAGAGGCAACTGAGGTTTGAGACCACTGCCTGGAGGTGGTGAGGGGCTGGATGCATAGGTGTAGCTAAGGGGGGCAGCTGCCCCCTAAATCAATACACATCTGAGGTTCTGCCCCCCCCCCAACAAAAATCCTGGCTATGCCCATGGCTGGATGTGGACCAATAATGTTGAATCCTGAAAAGACAAGTCCTCATGGTCCGGAGGTAGGGAGACAGCCTGTCCTGGATAGGATTGCTCTCCCTTGGAAGGAGCAAGTTCACAATTTGGGGGTGCTCCTGGAATCTATACTGTCCCCGGAGGCTCAGGTGGCCTTGGTGGTGCATGAGTTAGGTAGATTTCCATGTACATTTACCATAGTAAAGATGCCCTGGTCTTGTATGTGTGACACACTCTGCCAGACACACATTTGTGAATTCAGTGCTTCTGGTAATGTGTAAATATTACCAAAAAACCAGCCCCACCTTCTCAGGCAAGCCTTGCTCTCACTCACAAGCCCCTTATTATCAGTAAAAAAAACTTGGGCAGGATTCA